TCGGATCCTGCATCCCAATCCCAGTCGCCTCCGACTCTGGGTCTGGCCACTACAGGGCCCGGCGTTTCCTTCTCGGAGTATGGCGGGGACATCGGACACACGATGACTAATGCCAGGGCCCCTTCCACGCGCCTGGTGTACGCCCATAAGTGGAAGGCTTTTAGCCGCTGGTGTCAGGGAAGAAGTGAGGACCCTGTACACTGTCCTGTTTCTGTTATTTTAACCTTCCTTCAAGCACTGCTTTCTCAAGGTCGCTCTCCATCCACTCTAAAAGTCTATGTGGCTGCCATCTCTTGCTGGCATTCGGTGGTGAGTGGGGAGACGGTGGGTCGTAACAAGGACGTTTCCTTGTTTTTGAGGGGTGCCCGGCGTTTGCACCCTCCCACACGCCCTGTTGTGCCGGTGTGGGACCTTTCTATTGTCCTCGCTGCCCTGCGCTCTCCTCCCTATGAACCATTTGCGGGGGCAAGCCTTGAGTGTGTGTCGAAGAAGACAGCTTTTCTCCTCGCCATGGCCTCGGCGAAACGGGTGAGTGAACTACATGCACTGTCTGTTCACGAGTCCTGCTGCCGTTGGAACCCGGCTGGTTCGGGTGTTACTCTTTGGCCTAATGCGGCGTTTCTTCCTAAAGTGGCTTCACCCGCGAGCCACACTGTGCCCCTCCAGCTTGCTCGCCTTGATACAGATGGGCCTGATGAGCTTCTCTGCCCTGTTCGGGCACTGAGGACATATGTCAGTCTCACAGCTTCTCTCCGTCAGGCAGATAATCTGTTTGTCTGCTACGCGGGGCCCCGCAAGGGGCAGGCCCTTTCTAAACAGCGCCTTGCGCGTTGGATTGTGGATGTAGTGGAACAGGCGTACATTCAGCGGGGCCTCCAACCCCCCGCTGGTGTACGGTGCCATTCCACCAGGGGTGTCAGTGTGTCATGGGCCGCTATGACTGGTCTCACTCTGGAGGCTATTTGCTCAGCAGCCTCTTGGTCATCCCCGAATACCTTTGCTAGGTTTTACAGGGTCAACTTGGCCACCCCTCACCCAATGCAGGGGATCCTGTCCCAGCGCACGCCATCTTCCCAGTGAGGTGGGCATGTTTGGGTTGTTGTTTCTGTGTGTGATTCCTCAGGACTCTGTTGGTAATCGTCATCCGTGCTTTAAGCACCGCCTCTGGCGGTCAGTAGGGATGAAATAGAACGAAAGTTACCACTGTAACTACGGTTCTATGAATCCCGGATGACCGCCAGAGCGCTCGGTCCCTCGGAATCATTGTGTGTTCGCGAGAAGATTAAGGGACTGAGCTATCGCTGTCACGTGACTATATAGGCACACCGGTGTCACCGGGGGTCACACGCGACTATGTTGGTATAAGATTCTCGACCTGTGCATGCGCAAGAGTGATCATTCGTGCTTTAAGCACCGCCTCTGGCGGTCATCCGGGATTCATAGAACCGTAGTTACAGTCGTAACTTTCGTTCCCATAACAGGCCACACTCTTTTTCTCCTCAGGTTTTTTTTTTTTCAAAGTATGAACTCTTTGCTAAAATGTCTGTAACCTGTTTTTTGTTAAATCTGTGGGGAAACCTTCACTGCTCCCCTTTGCAGTCCTTAAGTTAGTGAGAGAAATTGTGTCCAGTCAGAGCGGGGCAGTGCATTGAGCAGTGTGTTATGAACTGTCTTCTCTCTCATCTTTGCAAAGATAATGAAGTCCAGACCAAGTGAATTACATAACTGTCTTTTATTTAACTGGTTTGCATAATTGAATAACTTTTTCCTACAATTGGCCCCAGTGTGGCTCTACCTTTCTTATACCTCATCCATAATATTTAGGTTAGTCCAAGCTATTTTCTCCATTTGTGCTGCTATAGGCTTAGACTATGGGAGGACATAGGGACCCTCTTTTCATCATTCTGGTTCGTTCTGTCTCCCCATTCTGTGGTATTTGTTAGTTCAATCTCTATTGTTATGCCCTCTCTGCTTTTTCTCTTGATATTATCTTTATCTGATCTGTCCCTGTTTGGCTGTGACACCATCCTATACCGAAATATTAGCTGTGCTGCAGCCATCAATACCTTAGTTTCTAGATGTTGGAGCTTGGCCTGTTTTTTAGTGTTGTCTTATTTCTCTGACTGTGCCTAACTGTATGTGTTCTCTTCTATCCTCTGGCATGGAAGCTCGCTCAGAACTCATCTGCCTGGCTGTGTTTTCTGGACGGGGCCGCCTGTGGAGCTGATTGACAGTTGCCTTTTGCAACTCTGTCTCTTTTTTTAAATGTCGGCCTCTGTCTCCTTGAACCCCATTCAGCCTCGGCAGATTGCTGTTTGCAATAAGCCTGCTTCTAATGGAGTTTTCCTCTCCACTGTCACCAACAGCATGCTTGTGTGCGGGATTACCTTTGAGTCAATGAGTCGATGAAATCACCTGGTTTTCTTTAGATAGAAATCTGACTGTATGATGTGGTAGAGTTGTCTTGGTAGAGTGCCTTGAGATTACATGTGCTGTGAATTTGCACTGTATAAATAAAATGAATTGAATTACAAGAACAAAAAGCAAATAAAAAGTCCTCATGTCTTGTGCTAATTTATATTTCCAGCTGGATACGATAGCACTGGGGTTGGTAGTAGACAGGATTTGTGTAATTCAGTGATATAAGTACAATAATATGCAATATTAGTTTAGGCCAGTTTTTGCAACTAAATGGTTCAGCAAGGATTTAATCAAAATATTCTTGCTTTGATCCTCTAGCACTACATAGAAGAAGATCATGTCAGATGAGACCAAAACCTAAACTTTTTGGACTTCACGTAAAATAACCTACATAGGCCAAAATACATTGTCCCCTTCCTAAAACATGGTGTCATGCTGCGGGATTGTTTTGCTCCAACAGATACAATAAGGCTGCTCAGAGTTGAAAGGTGGATGGATGGCGTTCCTGGCAAAGACACAGTTTGCCCATGATGTCCCCAAAACATGTTTCTATTTGAATAAAGATTAAACTTACTTAGATGCTTTGTACCATATATATATATATATATATATATATATATATATATATATATATATATATATATATATATATATATATATATATATATATATATATATATATATATATATATATATATATAATTTTTTCAAGGACTTAATAGTCTTTTTTGAAGAAGTTATATTTTACTGGCCTAAAAGAAAAGAAATGCCAAACAGTTGCAATTGAGACACTTTTGGGTGGTCCAGCAACACAAAAACACCCACATGCACATTAAAACTTGGCTTATAATGGGTACAGCAAATTACCAACAAGCTTTTGGAAATATACAAACCTCAACCCCGATCAAAAATTCATGGACTTTGCATAAGAGCTTCACCAGTTTCGGGAAACCCATCAGTTTATATGAGTTCAACCATTTTTGGTTTCTAGTTACAAAAAGTGTGTGATTAGCTAAAAACACTAATTGCTTACGGTCATATTTTCTAGAAGACATTTTCTCCCATAGTCTCATTTTTTGTTTTCTAATTATTATCTAGAGACATATATCATTTTTTCTTTGTGAATAAAAAAACATAGTTTAAATTAGTGATTAAAGGTTAGATGTTTGTATATGATAGGCTAATAATGATTAATACACTTTTTAAATTTTTTGCACTTTGAAAATCGTATTTTATGAATAATATCAATAAAAAAGTAAAGTAGCAATCAGGTTCCCAACAACCTCAATAAGTTGCTACATTCATGCTGATTTTTGCACAGTTTCTACCTTAGTCAGTTAAATAACTTGCTGCTGTCATTTTGCACATCTCTGATGTTGCTGCTATTTTCAAATATCCATTACTGTAAAAATGTCCACGGCTGTATATTGGTTATTTATTCTCCAGGTGCACAGTATTTATATTTTATCGGGTTTTTTTTATTTTTTTTTACTTTTCTCTATTGTTTATTTAAAAACTTAAAATCTTTTAAGGTGCACATTTGTGCAGTGGTGTCAAAAGTACACACATTTGTTACTTAAGTTGAAGTATTGATATTGCAGTTTAAAAATACTCTGGTAAAAGTTGAAGTATCAACTTGACCTCTTTACTCAAGTAAAAGTGAAAAGGTATGTGCTCAAAAAACTACTTAAACTATAAAAGTATAAAGTAACCTTAAAAAAAAAACAGCAAGATGCCACCATATGAATTGAAAGCTCAATTTTTCGACTATTTCGAAAAAATTCTTTGAGATAGGGCAAGGGATGAGGGAGGTCTCGTTTGTCTCCGTCTCCATCTCCGACAATTCAGACATTTCAACATCTTTTTCTAAATCCTACATTGTAGCATGGCATAGACAATTCGCGTTTGCAGTTTGAAGAACACCTGCTTGCTTCTGATGATTTCCTTTAGCTAACCAATGAGTGTTTGCATTATATGACTCATCCAACTACACTAGTTTTCACTAGATGTGGATGGCGCCAATGATCTGCATTGGATGGCGCACATGACGTGAAATAAATATTTAAAAAACATTAAACCGAATCTAAGAAAAACGAATCACGTTTGTTTTAAAAATGTAAGGAATAGAAAGTACAGATACTTGTGTGAAAGGTAATGAGTAGAAGTCAGACGTAGGAAGAAAAATAAATAATGGAGTAAAGTATAGATACCTAAAAAATGTACATAAGTACAGTAGCAAAGTTTTTGTACTTTGTTACTTAACACCTCTGCATTTGTGTAACCACTTTTGCTATAATCGTTTTGCTGCTGTAAACGCCAGAATTTCCCCATTGTGGGACAATAAAGGAATTTTCTATTCTATTTTATTCTCTTAAATTCTTCTTTTTTTTTTTTTCAAACTCAAAAACGCATATTTTGTCCCAGTAGACCTCACTCCAGACCACTAAGGATTATCTGTTTAATCCCTTACAGTTAGGACCCGCCCTGTCTCCCAGGTGATTGACAGACACCTTGTCCAATGAGAAGAGAGGAGGGTTGGTCTGGCTCAGTCTGGCTAGACACCGCCTTACACGAACCTCCTCCTCCTTCTCATCCCCGTTTAGTTTGTCGCTCTCTGGCCAGTTACTCCGACTCTACTTTGTCTTCGGCAAACCGAAGAAGTGCTCGCCGAAGTCCCAGCCATGGAAGAAGATAATATAATAATGCCTGTTTGACCAACGGAGCTTGTCCAAGGTGAGTTTGCGGGATTTTCTGAATCAGTGGAGGGAGGAATTAGCGGCTACGAGGCTGCGGCTTTGGGGGAGGCGAAAAGTTTTATCCGCCTCTCCACGGGACAGGACACTAGTGTAGCTGCTCCGGTGATGTCTGTGGGACCGTGACGTCATGGTGTGTTGCGTCGCTCAGTAATAATAAAGGACGCCTGTCAAACCCTGGTTTATAGCTTATAGGTTTAATTAAATGCACATAAAAAAAATGAAAATATATTTTTTGTAATGTTTTATCAGAATTTTGTTTAAAGGTTAAAACATTTGGCTTGTGATCTATTAATATATATTTTTTATTAACTTTTTTGTAACAAGGCTGTAACAGGTAAAGACAACTTTATGTAAACATCTAAATAGAGTAATCATTGGGGGTTCTAGACAGGGGCCAAAAGGGGCCAATGCCCCACTGAAGATTTAATACTAAATAATTTTTTTTTTTTGTATATATAGATATGCTCCTGCACTAAAGACATCTTAAAATAACGATGTCAGGGGTCTGCAACCTGCAGCTCCAGAGCAGTAAAGTGCTTTTTGGGCTCAATTAATAAAAGGCACGTTTTCCTGCTTGTTTGATTTACTCTATGATAAAAAAAATAATAAATGCCTCCCTGGTAAATGTGGTCAAGAACCGCCACATAAGGTAAGGGCAGATAAATTGGTTTTTAACCTTGATTTAAAGCAACACACTGGAAAAAATCAAAATCTAGATAAGTCCTTTTTTTTATTTTTATAAGTGCATTTGTTCTTGAATTGAGAAGGTACAAGATACATTTGCCAATGGAACAAGATAATTTACATTTAAAATAAGAAAACACAATTGCATTGTCTAATTTCAAGTGCGTTTTATCTAAATATCTTATTTTAAGAGTAAAAATGCTCATTCCATTGGAAAGTATCTCATTTACCTACTCAATTTAAGGGTAAATACACTTAATTTAAGAAATTTTTAATTTTTTTTTTCTCTCATAGAAATGTATCTTAATATTTCAATATTTGGTTCTGGTTCTGAAAATTCAGATTAAAATAAAGCCTGGAGACGGCCCAGGTGGTTACAGGAAAGTCATGTTTTATTCTCTGCATTAGTTCTGTTACCAACATTAACGTTGTCTTTCAAAACCAAGATGTAAAAATTTAAGGTATTTAAAAAGTGAAAAATCTGGGCTCATTATTATCACTGAAAACAAGTTGTAACGCAGCACTCTAAATGTAGTTTGTGACTGCTGCCAGTAAACCAGGAACACATGATCTCTGTGGAATTTACTGTCTTTTTCATTCATTAAAATAATGGCAGTTTAATGACTTACAGAATTCCTTTTATTCACCCACCAGATGTTTCTACTATATGATATCTTCATTAAAACAAACACAGAGACGGCCAAGTTAAAACACACCCTGCATGATTTAATTTGAAAGTAAAATTTATGATTATATTCCCAAGTTCCAACCTAAATTATTGACATTTTTGTAATTGACTTTACTTTACACTAATACATTTTTGTGTTAAAGTACCAAACTGGTAGACTTTTAAAGAAAAATCTACCAGTTTGGTACTTTAACACAGAATTTTATTACAAAAATTTTAATAATTTAGGTTTGTAATTTACTTTACACTAATGATATTTTGTGTTAAAGTACCAAACCAGTGGGTTAGTAGATTTAAAGAAAAAACTCAATACAACAAACATTAGCTACCAAGCTATATGTTCACTTTATAATTTTGCTAATTTAAAGATAATTTAGTCAGGTCCAAACCTTCAATAATAAGTCTTGGGTATGTTTGTAACTAGAACGGCTCAACAATAACAATAAATGTTATTGTGTTGTGGTTGTTATGATGAGTGCTTCTTAAAACTTCAACACTAAATAAACAACAGTTTTTCCAGAAGCCCTAGCCTGTAGCATTAAAACTTTATCTTCCAAACTACTGTCATGCCGTTGCTAAGGTTTAAAGTCTTTTTGATAAAAGTGCAGAGGAAGGTAAAGTCACCCCTCCCCCACCTGCTGAAAGCCCAGAAACCATTTCCCTTGTTATTAGGAAAGAAAAATGCAGCTTGCGCTGTGGCTAATAAACAGTAACTAATGTTATCACCTTTTTTCAAGCTTATGAGTAATTTTTGCTTTTCTACTTAGAATAAAGGCAAGTAAATAATGCTATACTTGTAGTTGATATTTATTTAGTGTAAATGCTGTGGTATTGTTTGTCATTGCAAAAGACAGTAGTTCAGCACCTCTATAGTGTCTCATTTACTCTGTTAGTTCCCAGCTCTTAAGCTCAGATGCTCTCTTGGCACGGTATAAATGAAACTCTTAAATCAAGTCAAACAAATGCACTTGTTGATGCAATAAACAAGATTACTCTTCATTCAGATCTTTCCTTGTATATTTATGTATTCTTCTCTGCAGGCATGGCTCCTGCAGGGCAATAGCATGGGGTAGGTCAATGTACTCTACGCACAGCTAGAAGCAAACAATCTGAGAAAGATAGACACAATAGTATAGAGACCTCGCTGCAGATGTGCATTCCTTTGAGCAGTGCAGGGATATAGCCCTTAAATAGAGCTGTGCTGGAATGCAAACACACAAAGCAGAAAGATGAAGCCTGGGGGGGCGTTCCAGGAGTGAGAGCAAGGAGGTAAGTTGTAAAAAAGAAAATCTGCTGCAAGGTCTTTTCTTCTGATTTAGTGAAGTTTTTCTCAACACGTCTGAGCATTCTAGGTCAAAGTTGACCCTTGAAGTTAGCCCTTAAAGGTGTTCCTAATGTTCTTGCTCTGAAAAAAAAAATTTATTGTGAAACTAGATGCAGCTGTGGTAAAATTTGATTTTTACCTTCAAATATTACTATTTGACGTCAGAACGCTTGTGTTTATACACCAGGCCCGCCTGCAGTGCATCAAACAAATGATGCAGCTTGAAATAGAGTCAGAAGCAGCTTTATTTGATAAGTGTGTTTGCACAAAGGTAACTAGGTCCAGTTTCTGGTACTGCTGCTTAATATATTCTGCTGGAACAATATTAAGAAATGCACAGAGAAATTTGCGTTCAACCAACCCAACTGGAGATTTAAATCCAAGTTCATGAATTGAGGCTAGAATTTTCAATTTCCTTCTGTTACCTTTTGCTGTGCAAATACAATAGAGTTGAGATTGGTTTGAGTTTTTTCCCAGGGTTACCCAGCTGTTTTTGTTACCATCACTGTCTTTTTCTTGCTTTTGTAAGAGTTTTTCTGTGAATGATGAATGAACAAAGATGTACACTGGGTGTAGCTTCCTGAAGACATTTAGCAACTTGGAAGTCTTTGCTGATGGACTTGTTGGTTGCTGTAAAACGAAAAGACAGAGCTTTAAGATGTAAAGTTGCTAACTAAGTCATATATTGTTTGTAGAAAGAGGTTCTGAACTCTTGTTCAGACCTTAAACATCTGCAGTTTGGGTTTTCTATCTACTATAGAAACGTGTGTGCTGTGGGCTTTATGATTTAATTGGTGTTTAGTATATTTTAGACGATAAAGTATACATAAACAAATTCTGGGTGCATCTATGAGGCAATGATCTAAGATGGGGTTTGGGTTACAAAAGCAAAATCTAGAAGGAGAGGCTTTTATTATTCCTAAAAAGGGGGAAAAAAGAAGTGGTAATGTTTTGATTAGGATTAGATTTTTTTTTTAACCCAAGACTTTTCATTTTAGGATTTTGCTGTGGCCTTTTTTAAAGTAGCTTATGCATTGCAGCTGTGATAAGAAAGAAGCCTAAAACAAATAATAAAAAGGAAAAAAATAAAGAAAACATGAAAACTTTTTTCTTTATTCAAAGCAGCATTAGAATTTGTGCATTTACTCATTTTTTATCATAAGGGAGAGATTCCAAAAATTGTAAGAGCTAGTGAGTCAACTTCTTGATTTACAGTAATTCTTCAAAACATATTTATCATTGGAACTCAATCTGATTATATGTTTTATCTTTTAAATAAAATCTTGAAACGCACTAAATCGATTAAACAAATGAGTAAGAATCCACAGGCAAGGATTTCAACTTAATTTGCACTTTTCTGTTAAAATCTACTCCTCCGCTCTTTGACACTTGTTTTAAACAAACAGTGTGATTTGGACTCGGCTTGGACACTATCTGACTTATTTACTGTAGTTGGATTTTTGAACAACTCCTTTCATTGAAACTTACCTCCAGATAATTTATTCTGGATTCAGAGATGTAATTATTCAGCTTTGCCTTTCGCTTTGCATGAATCCCTGCAGACCGCTCTGAGTCTTTACTCTAACTCAGGCCAAAAACCACATGTGCACAGGAAAAAAAACACTCTGTCTCCACATAGACCCTGATACAGACCTCCACACAAGCACGTACACTGTACATGCAAAGACACAAACTCTGACTGACCAGTGGCTCGGTGCCTGCACGCTCATATAATCAAATGCATACAGCGCTAAACGAAGTCCAAGCCTCCATATTCGCTCAACGCTCATATTTCACTAGTCACTCACAGAGGGCCCACAGCAATCAACTCCAAATTAGAGAGAAATCTGCTCCAAGAAGTTGAGAGCAGCTTGCCAGGTCTGAGGCCATACTCCACTTTGTGTGTATGTGAGAGATGGAGAAACAAAAGAGCCAGCCCTTGATATTAAACCAACTTAAAGGGGCCTAAAATGGGGTCTGTATTCCTCTGTGCTGCTGCTCATAGAGTTTCCTCTCCTCTCTAAACTTTACAGAATCCCTGTTAACTTATGCATTGATTTAAACTAAAGCATCTTTGTTATTTTTGTCTATCCCGGTTTGTTGACCGCTTCCAATTTTAGATTTTTAAATTTCCCATAGCTTTATAAGGCACAGGCTCAGGTGACTTCAGAGTTTTCTAGGCTGCTTTTAATTAGAGCTTTCTATGAGTTTGCAAGTTTGCTTCTATGATAACATGTTTTAGGCATTTTTAAGCTTAAAAAGACAACCTCAAACTGGGTTT